GGGGCACCTGTCAAGGGGCAGGGCTACCCATGCAGCCCTTGACAGCTTGCCAAAACTGGGTAAGTGGCCCTCCGCCGGAAATAATTGCCCGCCCCTAAATTATACACGCATAAGTATGTGTGTGTGTTTATGTATACGTGTGTGTGTGTGTGTGTGTGTGTGTGTGTGTATTTTAAGGGTAAGACTCAATCTGGCCAATGTACCACTTTAACTCATCTGGTTTACAAATACATTGTAAAAGCATGTACCTCTCTGAAAAAATCCGAGGCCCACTGCTCCTCCCATGCTAGACAACCTTAGGGTTGCCCAAAGGTTATAGAAATAGAAGATGAGCTAGAAAGCAAAGGAATGAGAATGATTGCTTACTGCTGATGCTGGAGGCCACGGGCAGCTTGAAAACTGTCCAGAGAAAGAAAGAGCAAACATATTCTATACATTTCCTCTGGATTAGGAGCCTAGCACCTAAGCAATGCAGAAAGGGATGAGTATGTTTGCAGGGAGTGGAAACATGGAAAGAGATGTAGAAAATATACAATGGCTGTGATGAGGAAGACAGATGCACCGATGTATGGTGAGAGATGGCTTCAAGAAAAATGGACTTGGTGGGAAGGAAACCATCCAGGTAAGAAAAAATGAATTATGGAGTTACCAGAAGTCCATGAAAACACAAAACTAAAATGAGAACAAAAGAAAGAAATGGAAAAGGCAGGAAACACATGTACAATTACTATACGTGGAAGTTTTTATAAACACTAGCCTTTTATTACATTGCCTTCAGAAAAAGGGATGTTGTTAGGAAAGGATAGAGATCTGCTGATCTCCTAAGTGGAAAAGTAAGAAATCAGGTGCACTGAATGGGATGCATGCCAGGCAATTTTGAACTTTCCAGGGCCAGTACTATTACTGTAAAGTGCTTTAGAAACAATTTTTAATTACAATAACAAGTGCTCAGCACCTTTCAAGAGTATCAGCACTCATGAAAGAACCTTATTCTTCTGTGAACTGTCATGGATTATTTAATTTGCCAGTTATGACCATGTGTTACATTTAAAAGGTGGTGCCACCACAGCTCTCCACTGCATCCTGGAAGATGCAAGCATTTTCAAATACTGCCATTTTGAAATCTTTTTCTTTCCTGCACATAACAACATTTCCAAGACTAGTGATTTAAATGGTCAAAAGAGAAAATAAGAGAAAGTTATATATTTTTTTAAAAATGGGAAACATAAACCGGCAAATACCTGAGAGAGAATCAGTTGTCCATGAAACTTTTGGACAAATTTTCTTAAAAATGTAAAATATGTAGCCTCTCCTATTCTTCTTGCTAAAGATCGCAGAAGAAAATTGCCCTGAAACAAATCATGCCAAAGACAACAATTAAACAGGTATTTAATGAAGTGTTTCTAACACTGATGGCAGCTTTGACTAGAAGTCAGTTAAGCACTCTCACCTTCAAATAATGAACCTGCATGAAGATTTTTTCTGCTTTAAGACCATGTTTGATAATAGATGCTCCAGACTCGCTCGTTTCTCCCGTGTTCTCTTTTTTGGGCCTAAAAAAAAAGTTGGATAAGTGAATAAATAACTGCTTCATCACAAACTTTCAAAACATGACAGTAACTTTGGTATCTTCAAGCACTCCTCCATAGTGCATTAATCTGTGCTACTTGGTCTGAGTTGGCATTTAAATGTAATTATTACAAAAAGAAGAAGTAAAAAGTAATCTGCATCATTGTAATGCAATTTTATGTGTGGCTGCACAAACAGCTGAGACTACACAGAAAGTCAGTGCTAAGCTGGTGTAACAGTACTCACTCTTCCCTCCCAGACATGACATCATGTTGCTTGGCATTCCATTAAGACATACTACATGGACAGCAGTGTCACTTTACGAATAAAGGGAGGAAAAAAGGAGATATTTGAGAAGGGGGGAAGAGGGAAAAAAGAATACTGAACTCATTACACCCAGCTACATAGTTTCACTTCTCATACCTGAGCACTGGCTTAACAGCTCACAAGACAACACCTGCAAGAATGAATAGCCTCTTTCATCTACACATAACATACTGCAGACAGTATAAACTTTCATTTTGTCTTTTCTTTGATTTGTCATTGTGTGCGCATGTTTAAAGACAAGCAACCAAAATTCTGAAAGAGAGAGCCTGCCACACACAGCCTTGGGGTTTCTCATCTAGACAGACAGCAATACCCAGAACAAATTTAAATTTTAGAACTGGATCTTCAACTTGTGAAGCTCAATAGGCAAGTCAGAAATCTACATGTGTGTTATAAGTACTTAAGAGCCCTATAAGTTTAACCATAGAGAGAAAATTAAGAAGAAATTATTCAAAAATGGTTTCTCTCCTCTGCAAGTGGTGTCTCCTATATCAGACACACAGAACTGAAGAGCCCACTAATTCTCACTCCTCTCAGAACCTCTTTCCAGATGGTATCAAGCTAAGTCACCAGGTGGCTGAAAAGTACAGGATGCCCTTAGAAGTCTACCTACATACCTGTGAAATAAAACTCTTAGATTCTAAATGTGTATTTACTACTTCTGAAAAGTGCCAAACTAGCAGTTCTGGAGAGTACTTTTTCCACCTGCTACAGTATAGCAACAGCAGAGGTAGCAGCGATATTAGCCACTTCATATCTTACTATCCACAGGTCTCTGAAGGATCAACACTTGGGATCAAATGTCAATACCCGTATAAACCTAGGATTCTGTGTTACAGAAGACTTTTCCTCCCTTGCACCTATATAATAGTTTGTTATTGCAGGTTTGCCCAAGAGTGCTGAGTGTGTGTGTGTGTCACATTCACATCATTAGAAAACAAACATGCAATTTGAAATTAAATGAGAGAAAGGAAGTATATGCATTGTTTATTTTGTAATGACCTTGATAGAATCCCTTCAGCGTGCTGTATTATGCTTTTAGAATGAAAGCCCCACTTTAAACAATAAGAAGAGAAGAAAAGGAAAAGAAAAAATATATAACTTGGGATCCATTTCTTCAAGACATTATCTGTAGTATGGATAACTAGGTGACTGGGGCCTTGTACAGACATTCAGTTTCTCCTGGGAGAGTGGCTGCTCTCCCAGAAGAAACCAAGGGTGTACAGATGTTCAAGTATTTTTAAGGAGAGTTTCTCCTCAGGGAGTGAAGGTCTGGACATGCTGTGGCTTCTCTCAGAAGAGAACATAGTCCTCCAGCATTCCCCCTCTCTCCCTGCCCCCAAAAAGACAGTCTGCGGCTCACTGTACTCTATTGCTCCAGCAGAGAGGAACACACCCCCTTCACAATCTCTGCATTGTACTGCACAGAAACGCAGGCTGACCATGGGTAGTCAGCATCAGCCAAGCAGGCTTGCCCTATGCATTGCAGCCATCTGTCACCAGGCAAAATAAGGGAGCCTACAGATCACATTGAGATGTGTGCACAGGGTCCCCCCTGGCTATATAGTGTCAGCACACCAAGTACAGGGCCTCTGCATGCAAATGTCTGTACATATGGTACTGTGTAAATTTCTCTACCAGAAGAACAAATCTGGAAAATTCTCCTAGAATGTGTATATACAGCCTGGGTGCCTGAGCTTTATGCCCACAAGATCGGGATCTTTTGAAGGGTTTTCAGTAGGAAAACACATATGCGTTCTACCTCCTCATGCTCCTGCACAAGGACATAAAGATCAGAGCAATCAAAACCATCCCTCAGTGCCATCATGTTTCAGCAGGCTGCATGTTGAAGACTCTAAAAAATTGGAATGAAGTGCAGGTTGTCATATGCACAGTAATAAAATATCCCAAAGAATCAGAGGTATCGCCACTAAAAGACTATGAGATACCCCAAAGGACTCTTCTACCTGAATACAGCTCCTAAAATATCCAGAGTACATAATTTCTTTTTACTCAGTACAGCATGGTGTTCAGGAAAAAAAAAATAAGACATGTACCTAATCGTACTCCAAGACAACTGTAGGGATGAATTTAGGGCAAGGTCTCAAAACTGTCTCTGAAACACCATATAAGGAGGTTCAGATATAAGGACTTGGAGTTAATTCACTGAACTGCCTATCTAAAGGCAAGCCAGCAGGAAAGACAATCTTGAAGATAGGATGATACAGGAAGCATTCTAAAAGCAACTAAAAGAAAAGCACCACGACACTTGGAAGGGATGCAACTGGCATCTCATTCAGAAGTAGGCTCTCTTGCCAGGGAGTAAATATGTAATAGTTCTTTGAGAAATGTCTATACTGTCCGGTGTAAGAAGATTAACTATGATTATAAGACAGATGATTTCAGAGTTGGCAGTCAAAAACTGTGATGCCACAGCTACATCAGCATAATGACACGCTCCCTCAGTAGAGCGCAGCACTACAGTTACACAGCAGCATAAAATAACCATGCACCATGCAGACTGTGCAGTGCAGGCTGTTACTGTGTCATTATTTAGTACTTTCACTTTTGGAAGTACTAAATGACAACGCAGTAACAATGGCATAGTAGGAGCACGTGTAGACGTGCCTAAAATGTTTTAAATTAGGGGTGCACTGGGTAGTCATGTTGGTTTGATATAAGAAGACATACAAAAAACTAGAACTCTTGGTTCCAAAATTATACTGTTTATTAGACCAACTGGGAAATGGCAAGAAAACTCCTTTTTTGGAAATTCGGAAATTTCAGAAGGTGCTGAATTTTAGCTGATTTTGGATTGTAATCTTCATTGCAGAAAAACAAGAAAGATTTTTGACCTCCCTGCCTACCATCTGACACCTCCAGGGAAGGAATTCTACTTGATCTATACATGAAAGAGCTACTCAGCACAGCTCACAAAGACACTCTCATGGACCCAGAGGGACAGTCTTCCAACTTCAGCTCCCTCTGTGCAAAAATGAAGTTTATTTCCTACCAATGGGGACTTCTCACCATCTTGTACCGTCTATACTTTTCCCAGAGCCTAATGTAGGGACTTTGATCCCGAAAGCTTGCAAAAAGGACAATTTTCTTGCGATTTCCCAGTTGGTCTAATAAAAGGTATCATTTGGGAACCAAGAGATCTGTTTTTTTGTATGTTAAATTAAGGATGCATTGATAAAGATTTTCTTGACCAATACCTATAGCCAATTTTTAACTAACCATATCAGCCGATGCCGATCTGATAACCCATTTGCTCCGGTTAAATCAGTAGGGCAGGGAGCAGAACAGAGCCATTGGTGCCTTGACCAGGGTGCATGAGGGTGGAGGAGTGGCCCCCAGGCATGGGGGGACATGTACCTCCCCAGATTTGTGCATAAAGCAAATGCAGGCTGCTCACAGTGGACGCCAGGCTCTCTGCTCTGCTGCCTTTCCCTTGGGAGCCCTGCGCCGGTCACACACTCCCTGCCCCCCCGGCAGCAGTCAGGGCAGTGAGTTGTGCCTCCCAATGCCAAGTGGGCAGGGGACACATGGCCGGTGCATGGCGCCTGAGGCAAAGGCAACAGGGTAGAGAGCCCCAAGCATACAGTGGGCAGCCTGCATCTGCCCTCACTCCACTCCACTCCACTCTGCTCCACTTAAAAGGCTCAGGGCTTTCCGCTCCGCTGCCTTTGCCCTCGGAGCCCTACGCTGGCCACATGCCCCCTGCCCGCCCAGCAGTGGGAGGCACAACTCACTGCGCCCACTGCTGCTGGGTGGGCAGGAGGTGCAGAGCTGGCACAGGGCTCTCAGGGAAAATGTAGCAGAGCAGAGAACCCTAAGCCCACAGGAAGCAGCTTGCATCCACCCCGTGCACAAATCGGGGGGGGGGGGGGGGGGGA